GATCCGAAGGAATCAGAAACTCACCGAGGGAAGCGGAAACCGGAGGGGTTTAGGGTGGCACGAGAACGGAAGAGGAAGGAGAAAGGCGGAACTCCAGCGCCATTCAAGTCATTCGAGTCTTACGGATCTCAAGATCTTCAAACGACTGAGCTTGGGGCTACTTCTTTGGAAGGTGTCATCTTAGCTTCCATTTTGCATCCCATGAGTCCAGGCTCTCTCGAGCGCAATCTGTTAAGAACAGCGTGAAATCCGCAAAGGGCCTGAGAAAGTCCAAAATCGCCAAATCCCGAGATCGTGCCAAGATACGACTTAGCCGACCCAACCGTTCGTTCCTTCGCTCAGAAAGCGACGGGAGGAGGCTTTTTACTTGAGGCTTTTTACTTTTACTTCCTGGATGAGACTCGTGCATCGAAGGGCTACGCCCTCGCACGAACCGACTCAGATCCTGGAGGCTGGGCATATCGAAGACGCGAAGGCGAGGAGATGAAACGAGCCGAAACGACTGAAAAGGCCAGACATTTCAACCGGACGAGAGGAAAAAAGGCGGGAGTCTGTTCCGCTTCGAGCCTCTCGACCGAGTGATCCCCGAGGACGATCTCCAGAGGAAAGTCCGATGATCTACGGTCGATGATGGGGCTTTTCGTCTGGTAACCAGGCAGCTTTAAAAGCAGCCAAAGATCCTTTCGTGGGAGAAACGAGTGCCGATCTTCGCCCATGCCATCGAGAGTTCGTCGTCGACGATCGGTTGTGACTCATCGCATTAAAAACGACTTTCGTTTCCCAACGCGAACGTTTGGTGATAGTGTAATGTGGTGAATCGATTCCGTCTTGCTGGGCCACGTCGAAGCTGATAATGCGTAGGTGTGGAGGAGTGAAAAATTTTGCTTCGGTGAATCGGATATCAGATCCATAGGTGCCCGAACCATTACGTTCTTCCCCACGGGGACGGATAACATTAAGAGTCTCGTTGCAGAATATAATATGTTATGATCGGGCCTTTGAGGGAAAATTTTTCTGTAAATTCATTCATTCGAAAGCATTGCGTATCGGCTTAGAACGACCTCGTGTTTTGAGCATTTCGCGGCCATCCCAGACGTTGAGGCTGGTCCTTATCTTTTCTCTCTAGTCCTTTCGACCGTGTTACTCTTGGGCACGGTGGCATTTGCCGCGACCTTCAACTCGCCGCCGAGTCCAAGCGATTCGGAGGAGAACGAATCCTCGTCGGAAGCGATAGGGCCCACGGCCGCGAGAACGCGGTTCTCTTGGGGTTCCTCGGTCGCGTTCGCCTGTCCTCGGCCCATCTTGAAGCGTGGACCCGTGGGTTCTCGATCCCGGTGTCCCAGGAACGTCACCTTTCGGAAGGACGATCTCCGCTACAAGAGGAGGCGACGCAACACGAGGGAGGAGGTCGCTGCCGCCAAGATCCGAAAATCTCGGACCAAACCGAAAAGGAAGGGGGAAACGAGGAGGAAAAGAAAGCGTGAGAAGGAGGGACAAACGGAGAGAAAGCGGAGAACGTGGGAGAGTCGACCGTGGAGGGAAAACGAAGAGGCGGACGAGGACGAGGAAGGCGACGGTGGGCATTCGCCGGCGGACGAACTGGAAGCCTCGGAAGACGTCGCGGATGCGCGGAGGGAGGAACGGGGGGAGACGGCGCGCCGCGATTGCTGCCCCTGCTGCTCGTCGCGGGACGAAGGGCAAAATTCTGGTGATGACCGAGCGGAGGAATGAAGAAACTGTTGCTTTCCAACCGCTCGGAGGGAACGAACACGAAGAACACCGTATACAGTGTAGTGGGATCCTTCAGTCGATAAATATAATTGCCATGTTCGAGACGTCTCGAGTGTCGCTTCCGTCGAAACTTCCCTCTCGATACAAGGGCTCCTTTGACCGCCTTTCTTTCTCCAGGGTCGATGACTATTTGCAGTATGGTCATCGTGATTGCGATCGAAATGACATTCGCAACAGTGCTTGGGGAGCCCGATGGATCCGTAGTACATGCATGAACCCCTATTCTAAACTCAATCCAACTAAAGAGCACTTTCTAGCTCCGAAATGGTTTTTCTGCATTTCCTTTAACATCGTTTCGTCTCATCGCCAACGTTGTTGGGCTCCTTCTCAATGTGGCTTTTTGCGGCAGCTGTGTGCAAAAAGCATAGCCTACACTCTTAGACTTTTCACGCTAAAGTAACGCTCAAGTAAGCGTTCCTTCAATGGATGAGTGTTACGAATGGATTTTAAGCGTCCTCGCTGATATTTTAGACGTTCCTCTGCCAGTGATTCACTCAGTCACGCTTATTTCAGCGTTTCCTTTTAGGAATGAGCGTGACAAAACTTTTGGAGTTACCGCTTTCCCCTTTCAGCGTGACAGAGATCGACAGATGTCACGCCAAAAAATCTATTTAAAATTCAAGTTCAACTTTTGTGGGACCTGACTGGATTTTGCATGAATTCTGCTGCAAAATTGTCAATATATATTCTAATAAATATAAATATACCATAACCAACCAACAACCAACCAACAATATGACAAACTTTTAAAGTATTTGTACCCCTGTAGGAAGGACTGACATGCAGGGCCAGCTTTAGGCACGTGCCACATGTGCCCCCGCACAGGGCGCAAATTCACCAGAATTTGCCAAAATTTGCCAATTTGCCAAAACGCGACTGAATGTATGCCGTAATAATTGATGCCACCCTCAGTTTTACTTTAGAAACTGGAAATGCTTTCTGTTTCGGCGTCATTTCGGACGCTTTGGATTAACCCTTCTTCCTTCGGGGGGAGGCGTTGGGAGTTTAAGCGTGACATTTTTGACAATTTTGTCACGCTTACTTAGCGTTCCTTTCAACGTGAGAGTGTACCCTCCCTTCTGAGCTCAGAAGGGAGGTAGGATCCAGTACGAAACGGGGCGGAAGCTCCTTCCAGCGCCAACGTCTGGTTCTTTAAACGCAAAAACGATCCTAATCGGGCGACTGCCCAGCAGCCAGTTCAGGAAAAAATGCGGCAGCCGGGGTCTCGAACGAGAACAGCCTGCACCTTGCACCTGCACCTGCACCTGCACCTGCTCCTGCACCCTAACCACCGAGTCGGCGAGCCGTCGCTCAGGATCTCGGTCCGCGATGTGCATCTCAGCGGCTCGACTTCCTCTCGTTTCGATCGTCAGGAGGAAAATAGGATCTTCTACGGATTCATCGTTTCGAGCCAAATAATACTGACACCAACAAAAGTCACTGGATGAACTGCTCGCCTCCAAGGTGAATATGGTATTGGGCTGATGGCTTCCGATTCTCAAATAAAATCATCATCTAGCATGGCTTTGCTTTCTCTTCGTACATTCTCAAACGGATGCACCACAAAAGAAACAAATTTTGTGCGAATGGGCTTTGCGCAATTTTGGACGGGCTGCCGGAAATAGAAACTGAAACGGAAATTTGTTCTGTCTTTTCCAGTTCTCTCGATCGTGTGCACCTCGGTATTGGCAGTGTCCGCGATGCTGGCCGGAGCCAAAGCCATCGAATCCTCCTCTCGAGGTTGGAAAAGTATAAAGCCAGCCGACACGATCCTTCGAGAATCGAGATACAAGAGCGGGAAGCGACTCGCGTTCGACGAGGCCGGGATCGACTACAAAAACCGGAAGCGGACGGAAAGCGACTCGAGGCGGAACCGAAAGGCCCGCCGAGTGGCAGCGAGGAAAGGCGTCCGAGTCCGGGAGAACAAGGAGGCGATGGAAGCTCTCATCGCGGAGATGCACGATCGGGGACGGATCCGCTCCGAGTCCGAGAGTTCGTCCGAGTCTTCGAGCCGGATCTCGCTTCGAAGCGACGGCGCGGGGAGGTACGTCACGGTGAAGGCTCGGAAATTCTTGGAGCACTGGGAAGAGAGGACGAGGAAACTCTTCCCGACCGGGGGGAAACTGAAGCAGATGCTGCGAGAGGGCGCCGCGATGGTGGACGCAGAACGGAAGAGCGGGGCGAAGGGATCCTCCATCCCTCCAGGGAAGGAACCCTCCATCCCACCAGGGAAGGGATCCTCCCTCCCTCCCATGGGACCGGATTCTCTCGCCGATGCTCTGACGCGGTCCGAGGTTGGGAGGCCCAAGAGCGGCAACGGCAAGGCCAAGTCTAATCCTCTACACCGGAAATGATCAAAGAAACGACGGTGAAGGAGGGGGGAGGGGGAAGGGAAAGGGGAAGACCATAATGTCACAGTCGAGGACCAGGACGTCAACGACCACAAACGCAACCACAACCTCCACGAGAGTGTCAGCTACACAGTACCAGGCTCGTTCATGGCTGCCAGACGTCACGAAGACCACGATGAGCCCCAAGCGAAGAGCCCCGAAGGACAAAATTTCCTGCCGAGGACCTCGTGTACAAGAGCCTCAAACGATCTGAGAACGAAGAATCGCAGATAAAACCCACGTTTCTCGAGAAAAAGAGGATGAAGAACCACGGCGAAGGTTCAAGGAGAGTCACTCGATCTCGACGTAATTTTGCTCTCAGCGCTCATCGCGAACTCTCAGAACTTACGACGTGGAATTGAGATTAGACTAACGCTTGAATAAAAGAATAAAAGTATAAAAGCGGGTTCCTGGAAAACCTGGAAACGTACAGATGAGAAAGGATCCGAGGAGAGCTGAATTCTCATCCTTCTTCGGTCTCCGTCGTTCGGGCATCCTGTTTTCTCTCGTTCATCGACGCTGCTCGAGCACAAAATCGAGCAGATCGTGCTGAAACGACATCGACTGGGTCCTTAGCTTCCACTAGGGTTTCCGACAGACCCACGTGTTTCGCCAGGCATCTCTTCACGGTTTTCCGTGCTCCCCGGAAACCCACCTCACCCCAAATAACCGTTCATGGAGGGAATACTCTTCCGACATAGCATCACCTGATTCACTTACTCGGCCTTTAAAAAAAAATAATAAAAATAAAAATAAAATAAAAATTGCCTGTCTGCTCTACAGTCAAATGCGCATGCGCAGATGAATGTGATGGCTACTCGCATGAACCATGTGAGAACTCACGTGGGCCATGCTGTCTGGAGCAGCACTTTTGTTCTTTTATTTCCTCGTGCATCTCATGTTTTCTTGAGGACGAATATCTGTCCCAGATATAAGTTGATACCTGTTTATAATTCGGGTTTAGGTGCGATGGAGCTATGATAGACTCGGGCATTACGTCTAGTGAGTATTTCTTATCCAGGCTAGCCTATACCCTATGTTTGGTACTTTACTTTGCTCGCATAATCAAATATAGGGTGATTATGGTGAATTTTTGGATGAGCGTAGCTAGGCTATGCATGCGTGCAAGGCCTAACGTTCAGTTATATATAGCTAGGACTGAGATCCAAAGGTCCTTTTAGGATTGCATAAATGTTGGATGCTGTTGCCTAGTGATGACTTTTATCTAGAGTAGCTATTGTTTTGGACTTTTTCTGAATTCCACAGCGACGATAACGGATATTTTTTATGTCCCTCATTGATAAAGAGGTTGGACTGGATTGGAAAACTGTATTCTTTTTATCAAAAGTGGGAAAGGAATTTTTCATGTATTATTTTCCTTCAGCCTGATAGAAAAAGGAAAGGAACAGATGAAAATGTGAAGGTGAAATTGCACTTCAAAAAAGTACTGGTATTACCTGCTGGCTTTCCATAGGTAGTCCTTAGTCATGCTGGTAGCATAATACCTGCAAGTATTTATTGATATTCTGTTTCATCTCTTCTTTTCATCATAAAGCCAAGATTTTGGCCTGTTTCTGGGTTATGGTTATTGCTGAAGAATGCCTTTATCATACTTCATATTTCTGGATGGAGATCTAAATCAGACTATTGTATCTAGAATCTCAAAGAAGGGGTACCCAGGATGTTTTCAGTATTGAGAGGGGAGAACTGTCAGAAGGTTTCAAGAATAGTTACCAGGCATGTGAGGTGCTATCAAAGCAAGACTGAAGTGTATGGATGCAAACCAAAGAAAGACTATTTGTCCACTCTTGCCAGTGAGTGTTGGTCTTATTTATCAAGTTAATTTAGAGTCTCATTAGTCCATGTCTGCTGTTAAGCCTTTCATATTCAATGCAGTTTCCTCATATCCTCATTTTGTACATTCATTTTCCAGTCCCTGAGTCATTGGTGAAGGCCAAACAGCAGAACCCACATGTTTGGCTGTTGATCAATGCCTACAGAAACCATGGACATTCTTATGCATTGCTTGACCCTCTTGGATTAGACAGAAGTGAGAAGTGAGTATAGAAGCTAGAACCTCTTAAGTTCTTGCTTGATGGGGATTTGAACATTTTATTGTTTACCAGTTTGTTGAATTACAGTTATGCTTCGCTTCATCTCTTTTTTTCCCAGAAAAGTGTCACAGGTTTTGGATCCATCTTACTATGGTTTGAAGAGTGGGGAGGTATATGATGTTGGTGGTCTGCTCTGTATGGATAAACCCCAAGCTGACATTGATGAAATCTTGTCTCACCTCAAAAGCGTATACTGTGGCTCAACTGCTCTGGAGATCGGTCATATCCAGGTTATAAGTCCATCCTTGCTTTTGAGACCTAATTTGAGCTGCATTGACTTCAGTTGAATTCAAAAGAATATTGACCTTGAAGTAACGGTAAGACTATGCAAGCCTTGTGAAGGGAACTGTTGATATATGTGTGTTATTTTTTACATATTTTGTTTTTAGCATGAGGAAATGCGACAGTGGATCTGTGACCGCTGGGAACAACTGTCTGGAGAATCCTTCACTAATGAAGAGAAAATATCTCTCGCAGTAGAGTTGCTCAAGTCTCAAGCATTTGATATATTTGTTGCCAACAAGTTCACTACTGTGAAACGATACAGTGGTGAAGGTGCTGAAAGCATGTTTGCATTTTTCCTTGAAATTTTTGCCAAAGCTAATCAGTGTGAGTGATAGCCTTCTGAGCCCCTCTTGTCTTTGTGGTGCATTTGTTTCATTCAGTCGTCATGTAGGCCTATCAATTCTTAGATGGAAGGCAACGGGTAGTTTTAGCGATGCCTCACCGTGGAAGGTTGAATCTTCTGACTGGGATGCTGCACTTCCCACCTGTAATTATGTTCCAAAAAATGAAGGGCATGGCAGAATTCCCTCCTGATGTGAAGACTACTGGGGATGTCCTCTCACATCTAAGTGAGCAAATTTTTTTGCTTGGCTGATTTTCATCAAGTATATTTTGTTTTATTTATAATGTGAAAGGCCTAGTGTTTAGAGTGCTTAACTAATACAATCACAACAAATGATGTATGGATGAAAGAAAGCATAAATCATCATAATTTGATTGTGAGAAAGGTTGGTGTCTAAGAGGTACAATGCCAGTTATATCAGATATTGGCTAATATTCTTGTTATTGATGGATATCAGTATGGGGTACATCTCTCATGCTGATGTGTAGGCATTAAAATTAGGACAGTGATACAGAAATATCTGTATCTTGTGCTAAAGGTAACCTTGTTTAGCATTTAAGAGGAAATAAGAACTTCTTGTTGATTTTAAAATGATTCACTTTGTACTTCTAAAACATCCCACATTGGTATAATAAATTTCAGTCATTATTATAGACCTAATATCATTATCATTATGTTGGTATTAGGATAGGAAAATTTGGGAATTCCCAGAAATAGGGTAAATTTCAATGTTATTGTACCTATTGAGATTTTATTGATGTGTGAATATATTATATGAAAATATTGGGAAGTGTAATGCTTGTGCAATGTTGTTCTATTGCAGCTAGATAACTATGAAAACGTATATCAAAAAAAGAATATTAGTCACTTGCCTCCATTTTTTCTCTTTGGCTACATATTTAATTTTGTTTTTCCTGCAAAACAAGAAATAAACCTGTGAATACTCTCCTATTTCATTGAATACTCAGCAAGCTCTGTGGATCTTGAGATTCATGGAAAGCCACTTCATGTCACTATGCTGCCAAATCCTTCACATTTGGAAGTGAGTCAGTTTATATGAATTTATTTGAATCAAGTCATGTTACTTGGAAGCATAATTTTGAATATATTTAGGCAGTCAACCCTGTGGCAATGGGAAAAACGAGAGCATTTCAGCAAGCTTTTCTTGAGGGTGACTACTCTAATGATGGTGGTGCAAGACCAGGAGATCAAACCCTATGCATTCAGGTGGAAATCTTGTCATTTTTATAGTCATGAACATGCACATGATGCTGCATAGTGATTCATTGTGGTATTGCAGGTCCATGGTGATGCAGCTCTTCCAGGCCAGGGAGTGATTCAGGAATCTCTTTGCCTCACTTCTCTTCCACATTTTGACATCGGTGGCAGTCTTCACCTTGTAGTCAATAACCAGGTGGGGTTCACAACACCTTCTGACCGGGGACGATCCACACTTTACTGCACAGATGTTGCCAAGATGATTGAAGTACCTGTGCTGCATGTCAATGGGGATCATCCAGAGGTATGGAATCATTACCCTATTGAAATTTTATTATTTTTACACATGAAAAGCCAAAAAAGTCTTTATTCTGCTGGTGAAACTTCTGAAAGTATTATAGCACAATTCAAAACTGTGACTCATACTTGTCAAATGTTCTCAATGAGTTGATAGGCTTGGCCAGTCATTGGACATTGAGGTTATATTCAAGTTTGTGTGGTTTTTCATTGATCAAACATTTAGAAAGTCCAGAAAGGAGTTAGGATAAATCCAATAAACTGCAGAATATTTTTTGAAATTTTTACATTTATCCCTCTTGTAGGTAAAAGGTTAAAGATTAAAAGTGTATAGAATCTCAAGTCATGTCAAAGACATATCAGGTTTGCTATTAACTTAAACTTGATGCATCAAAGACTGCATAAACAACTGAGCCTTTGTTGTCTAAGACAGCAAGGTGTGGCAACTCTCTGAGGCTTTGGTACCAAACGTGAGCAAAGCATTCTTTTCCTGGTAGATGGTATCTTGGAATAGGGGAAGGTAAAAACCATGGGCAAGGTGTGCATGATGAAGTGTGTTGAAAGAAGCAGTCCTGGATCACCAAACTGTCACACCTGAAATCAGGATCAAGATGGAGGATACAGGGAGAGAATAACAGAGCAAGACAAAGTGGCAATGGAACAGTTACCAACTGAGTCTAATAAATATTATTACATTATGTTAAATAGTGGGTGTTCACTTCAAAAAATTTGTTAGAAGGTGAATATCCACTGGAAAACCTGACATATTTAGGGAAATCCAAGTGTTCTTCAATGACATTGGTGAGCATCCAAGGACTCTTGGAATAAGGGATTTCTGCTTTAGGGATCATGGATCACTGCAGAGTTTTGATTTTGGAAAGTAATATTGTGGCTAGTATGGTGTCATTTTAGCACAATTATTTTCTTGGTTTTCTGTTTCAGGAAGTATTGCGGGCAACACGACTGGCCTGTGAATTCCAGGAGAAATTTAGAAAAGATGTGTTCCTAGATTTGGTATGTTTTCGACGTTGGGGCCACAATGAGTTAGATGATCCAACCATGACCAATCCCATCATGTACTCAGTGATAAATACTCGCAAGTATGATCCTTTAGTGCTTGCTCTCTGGAAATATTATCTTCATTTCATATTCAAATTATTTCCCCTTCACATCTGTAGGACTGTTCCTGACATGTATGCAGACAAGGTCTTGAATGAAGGGATTGTAACAAGAGAGGAACTGATGAAACCAGTGGATGCCCATATTCAGATGCTGAATGAAAATTTCAAGAAGGTTGATTCAAGGAAACCAAAGGTTGGTGAAGGGTATGATCACATAATAATAATAATGAAACTGATTGGTGATGTTCTGGTGATTCTCTCTCCAATTAGGCTCCTCATCTGAAAGGTCTATGGACGGGTATGGAACAGGCTGGTACGCAGCTGACAGGTTGGGAGACTGGTGTCGATACTTCCCTCCTCCATTACATTGGTCTAAAGTCTGTCACACATCCAGAGGACTTTGTTAGTTTAACTATTGTTTCATGTGCACTCTAACTGAAGCAATTCATTTTTCATATACACAGTACAGCTTTCTTTCTTTTGTTCAGAATCTGCATGTGAATGTGAAAAAAGCACACATTGAAGCAAGGAGAAGAAAGTTGAATGAAGGTGAAGCAGTTGACTGGGCAACAGCAGAAGCCTTGGCTTTTGGCTCTCTTCTCTATCAAGGTTTGCTTAAGCTGCAATTGGGGAAACAGCCATGTCTAGTAATATACTGTGCATGCACTGCTTGATTCTTCTCTATGTGAGAAGTCTCTATCTTGTTGTGCAGGTTTTCATGTGCGTCTGTGTGGGCAGGACTGTGGTAGAGGTACTTTCTCTCAACGTCATGCTATGCTTGTCCACCAGGGATCTGGTGACATTCACATTCCCTTGAATCACATGATGGATGGCCAAACAGGATTCTTTGAGGCCAGTTGATATGATCCATCCAGGTTGCCCTTGGTTCATCCATTTTGTGTTTTTGCTCTAAATAACTGATTGTGAATTAGGTGGTGAATAGTCCCCTATCAGAGGAAGCAGTTCTGGGCTTTGAGTATGGATTCAGCATGACACACCCTAATTGCCTTGTGTTGTGGGAGGCTCAGTTTGGAGACTTCTTCAATACTGCTCAAGTCGTGATCGATACTTTCATCTCTTCTGGGGAGAGTGAGACCCTTTCTATGTTAAGTCTAACCTTTGCTGCCGTATGTAGTTGACCAGAATATTTCTCCAGGTAAATGGCTGATGCAGAGTGGGCTAGTGATGCTACTACCTCATGGGCTGGATGGAGCTGGGCCAGAACATAGCTCATGTCGACTGGAAAGGTTCCTTCAGTTGAGTGATTCATATGAGGAAGCTGGTATGGATGGCGATAATGTGAATATGCAAATTGTCCATCCCACCACCCCTGCGCAATATTTTCATCTTCTACGGAGGCAGGTAAAGGGAACAGCCAGAAACTGTCACTGTGGATAATATGATCAGAACTTTGTTCAAGTTAGTTGCTTCTTCTAGATGGTGAGGAACTTCCGTAAGCCCCTCATCATTGCAGCCCCCAAGATCTTACTTCGTTTGCCAGCTGCAACCAGCCATCTGGAAGAAATGGGCCCTGGAACTTCATTTCATCCTGTTTTAGGTGAGGATCTACTCCCACTCCATGCTTCTTGTCATTTTATGTCTTTTTATACCCTCCTCTCTAAGCTTCAGCTTACTTTGGCTTGCAGGGGACAACATCTAGAAGCCTTATTCAGCTGAAAATTTTCATTGAATGAGGGAACACTCCTCTTTTCCTTCTCTTTCCAATGTAAAACAATATGAATTTAATAGTTGAATTACACATTGTTCAATTGTGCTGTGCCAAAAATACTGATATACCATTTATGATGGGAGACTGTTGCCTGTCATCTCTAGTCTGTTTTTTCATGCATAATATCAGGTATAGTTCTGGAAATGGCAAGTACTTTTGGAATGGCTGGAGTGTAAATTGGGAAGTTGGTTGCAACAACATTAAAGAATGGGACAGGTAGCAGCTTGCTTGCAAGTAGAAGCTAGTCTTCCTTATTTAGAGACAGAAGAGGGAATCATTGGGATTCACTTGCTTCATGGAATAATTTTTCAAAAACTAGATCATTGATAATTTATCATGTCATTTTTCCTCATACAGTTCAGCTTTCTGATGGGGCTGTCATAAGGAGTACAGGGGAGACCTACGTTGATTCATTCCATAGATTTCACCCCTTGCATAGGCCTCAGAACAGTCAATTCTCATTATACTGCCACTTAATATAGTGTCACCCTTGTCTATTGCCAACCTCTTCCTGTGGACAAATTTCCCCACAACTTCATGATAGAGAGAATATGGTTTATTCATTATAAAGCCAAAATTGGTGATGACCAACAGTGGCACTATTTCAAAGGTTGACTGCACTTAGAAGACTTCAAATACTTATACCCATTCATGTTTGGAACTCAATTCACCCCTCCTTACCTCATGAGGTTTATAATGAATCTTTACCTTCATTTAGCCTTCAATTACTTGAATCTGTTCATTCTTCATCATTTCTCCTTTTTCCTTTTATCCACATATCCCACATGCATCCATTTACTTTAAAAACCAAAAGGTTTAAAATATTTATAATTTTCATATAAATTCAGATGGGTGAGAAGTGAATTCACACAGTAGGAATGTGGATGTCCTGCTGAGAAAGTGACTGACTGACTGCTATTGATTCACATTATTTTTAAAATTTCTCCGATTTGCATGCTGCCCAAATCACATTTATATTTTGGGCAAACATCTTTAGTGAAAAGCTGCTTAATTTTCAACATGTTCCATTTTCTGAGTATAAGGAGGTTGTTTTGAAATGCTAAGGAGGGAGCAGGAGTTGCTTTTCTTTGATAAAATGTGATGGTTTCATTTTATATTGGCAGAAATTGAGAATTTCTTATCAGGTTAAAGTATTTATATTCAGTTTTCTAGGGGATTTATTAAGAAAAAAAGCCAGATGATGAATGTCCTCATGAACTTGAGTTCAATTAAAGGCAGAGCTCTGTTTTCTTAAGAGATTCACTAAAATTAGAACTGAATTCATATACTATCATAGCTATTCCAAGGAACTTGGGAGACTTGGTCCTCTTACAGATGATCCCATAATGCGAGAGAAGCCAGCAGAAGTGAAGCATATAGTTTTCTGTTGCGGGAAACATTACTACGCTCTTGTGAAAGAGAGAGAAACACGAGGAATCAAGAATGTGGCCATAGTCCGTGTAGAATCTCTGTCTCCTTTTCCTGCTCCTCACCTCCAAGCCATCTTGTCTTTCTACAAAAATGCACAGAGTAAGTTCACGAGAAAGTTTCTTTCCCCTGCCTGTTGTTCTGCTTCTAGAGAAGCACTCATTAACATACTGATGATAGAATTTACATGGAGTCAAGAGGAGCATCGAAATGCTGGTCCTTGGACGTTCGTGTCTCCTCGTTTTGCAAACCTCGTTGGCTGCAAGGTGAGTCTTAACCTCTGCAAATGAAATATTGAAATATATTCTGAAAAGAAAAAAGTATAACAGAGCAGGTACTGGTAATGCAAGTGAGTGATTCCTTCTAATTGTTTGGTTTGTATTAAAAATCAAACCCCTGATGAAAGTGTCAACATTGGATAGGCAACATGAAGACTACTTCCAAAGCCTGTAAATTCTAAAGCTTTATGGCACTTCCTTCCATAAGCACAGAAGCAAATACTCTTGCCTAAGACAAAAAAAAAGTATATCATTAGAATTAATTGTTAATAGATGCATTCAGTCAAGTGTGAACCCAAGAACTTGCAACTGACAGAATGCCTCTTTTCATCTTCACTATTGACATTAATTCCTATAATAATGATTTTTTTTTAAGTGAGAGCATACCTACACTCATTGACTCATAGTAGTCAGCTCATTCATAAGTGTGAAATAATTTAAAGTTCATTGTAGATGCTCTAAATGACAAGCAGTATGAATCCTAGATTGTCAATGATCGACTAAAGGGAACATGCTATTATGAACATTTCCATAAGGGCAAGAATTCACTTTTCTTTTATTTATTGAAGAATGTTTACCTCAGAGTTGCTGTTCCATCACTGTTTGGTGGTATGGCAACCTACTGCTCTGATTTTCTGGCAAAGTATGCCAAGGTCAATTTCTTGTGATTTCATTAATCCAAAAGGGTTTTAATGGTTTCTTTGGATATGCATTCTTGTATTGGCCAAATAACTGCAAATTAGAACAAATTATTTTTAAAACTTCAAGTCGTTCATATATCTCATGAGTTACTGTCATCCAAAGTTATAACCCACCTTGCAATAAACCATAATATTGATATATGGGGTGCTACAGAAATCACAAAGCTTGAGAAAATATATTGCATTCACAAATTGAGAGCCATGAGCAGTTACATCATATGTCAAGCTCCAACATGATCATCTTATGGCGTTTCTTGGTTGAATTAAACTCAACTGTCCCAAATTCATAGCTTCACATTTTCTAAACTATGTCATAGTTTCTCATCTCAGTTTCTTACTTGCAATGGCTTTATAAATGCAACTGCCATTCAAATTTTTCTATCATTGCACACACTCATCTAGGAAGACTTCTCACCCAAAAAGAACTTTTGTCAATGTATACAGTAAAAGAACTCCAGCACTTACAAAAGAATGCTTACCCTTATTAGAGTAGAAGAAACAAAGGTGTAACAGTACTCAGCATTATATAGCTGTTCCTGATATATGCCTCAATGACCAATACATATTAAATGCATCTCATATAAGTACTGTATGATATGTCATCTACCACCCTCACCAAAAGAGAGAAGCAGCATATTCTTTCCTGTTCTATTTTGCAGCTGAAATATGCAGGGAGGAGAGAGTCACCAGTCCCAGCAGTTGGCATTGGTTTTAGACATGCACAGGAAGTTACTGAAGTGATGGAAAAAACATTTCAGCCATGATTCTCAGGAAAGCAGCATCTCTCTTACCCAGATTTTTGAAAGCCTTAGTTATACAGTATTAAGTCATGATATGCTGAGGTGGACATTCAGTGTATTTGCATGGCAAAAAAAGTTTTGTGTTTTCATCAGTATTTTCCTAGGCTGGAACATTTCCATCTATAATGTACCCTATTTGAACACGTAGGTTCAAGCTAGAAATTCTATTTGGTGGCAAGTGGCCAGTAAGCCACCAAAAGCAAGTCTGCCAAGCAACTAAGAATACTTCTGAAAGATTTCAAAATTGCTAAATGGGTGGCATGACTCAACTTCCAGGTGTAAACTTCAGACACCACATCTTGTCAACAAGCAGCAGCAGCAAGTTTGTGCCTTTCTTGCCTTGGGTTATGAATTTGTAATATTTCCCTACCTTGAAAAACTTCCCACTTGCTTCCATGCCATCCCCACTAACTTGTAGTGCTCTTAAAAAGCAAGTAGTCATTCATGTATTAGAGTTACTCATAGCTAAGGAAGAGGGGATTAGGTGCAGATGTAATGTGAAGTAAAAAGAAGTTTGTTGAGACTTTCTCTCACATGGTCCATGCAATTTGCCCAGTTTGATATCTGAATACCATGGGAAAATCTGAACTTGGATTTTTTTGTGAAAATTAACTAACATCACTTTGTCCTTGGATGGCAGTGAGAAACTGCTTTATCTTCTCTGTTGTGAAAAAAATGTGAAGCAAAACCAGTAAAACAGTTCCCTGGAAACATGACAAATGGAACTGTCGTCTTACCAAACAAGTATAGCTTTTTGTATTAGTGGAGAAAAATGAGGGAACCAATGTGCTGTTAGCATCTTTTCACAATACAACGTAACAAGGGCATGAGTGTGAGTTTGTGTTTTTTTTTAATCAATGGAGATATAGATCTGCAGTTGAGTGTTCAATTTTTTAAAATGAATTTTGTGTTATAGTGATTCCAAAAGTTTTGTCCAGTGATGAAATTTAGGTTCTTCCTGTGCCTGTGAGAATCAGGAGACTTCTGCTGAGGAAAGTGACAGTACTGCCTGATTGTTTTGGAGGCACTATAATTGAGATGAGACATAAGAAGAGGTTGTGTCTGTTTTCTTGAAGTTGAAATCCAGGTTTTGAAATTTTGGTGAAAGGAATTTATTTTGCAATGACGATAAACAACCAAGCAATGCTTCCAGGCTTCTCAACATCATGAAATAAGGATCTGTGATACAAAGTGCAATATTTGTCTTGATTGCATTCTTTTTGTCCCATGTGCACAGAAATTAAACAATATGCACTGAAGCCATTGACTTATATTTACCAAATACTTTGTGAAAGGTGAATGCCATGGCAAATGTGAGTATCACAAGGCATGAGATGGAGGGGCTTGATAAATTATTTTTTACAGGGCTGCAGCTTCATTTGGGTTTTGGACAACAATAAGCATGTATTCCTTGTCTGGAGCAACCATGATCTCGTGCTTCTTTGAGCGGACCCTGAAAAATGTGAGCTCGTTTGTTGGATCCAAGTCTCGGACAGTGCTGCGTGCCTTTTCTGTCAACTGTCCAATGAGGGCTGCATATTGTACTGTCTGCGCATTGTCCATGGTGGTCTTGATGGGTATCCCCTCTGAATTTATCACAATCACTCCCATCACACCTTTATGTCCTTGAATCCTCTTCAGTGTTTCCTCCACTTCTGAAGACATGATTCTGTTCTCTGTGTGAATTCAGTGTCTCCCTGTTGGGGGAAAAAAAAAAGAAAAACCTCATTATTCTCTGGGGATAGAATGACATCTAAATCTAAGTTATCATAATTTCGAGGCTAACATGCTAATCAGAAATAGTAATCAAAGACTGGACTACATGTTGCCCAATATGTATCTCAAGTCCATGCTACAGTTAGTTACCTAATGGAAGCCTGCATAGATGGATATATCCTCTTCTCTTCAAACAAAAAGATCTCTAAGCTTGGAGATAGCTCTTGCAGTTGAGTATGAGGGAACCTTGAGTCAGGTGGGTTCCTAAGAGTAGGATATATTAACTATTTGGAATTGTTTGAAGACCCTTTTCGTATATATATTGGTTGACTATTTCCTTATGTTATGGCTGATTACAATGCTAACCTCCAAACCTCTTCTAGAGATTGATTTCAGTAATGAGTAAATGCTGTCTGGCCCAGTTAGACTTGATTACTGGCAATGCCAATGGATTTCCTTTGTATTGTGTCCTGGAAGGCCAGATTTTCCCAAGGCCTATGAGCAAGAGCTTCCTGAAAATGAGATGACACCAGAAAGGTTCCTGTGATGCCATTTATTCCTTTGAGGACCTGGTCAAAAGTTAATTCAGACATAGATATCACTTTCTGAGGAAGTTCTGATGGATGTTTCATCATACTCAATAACTGGCCTCTCAGTGATGGTCAAATAGTCCCAGTTTGTGAGAGGTTATGATACAGTCATTTTGTCATGAATTAGGCCTGCTTGGCTATGCTTGGGTCCAGCCCCAAGTGAAGAGCCCCCAGCTCCATGGTCAGTGTGAGTGAAGACATTTCCTTCAACCCAACTCTTTCATCAATGCACACTCCCATGCTACAAGAAGGATGGAGATGTTGAAAGGATACATGGGGAAAATGCAAAGGAAAACCCTGACAGGAGAAGAGAATTTCTGCTACCATGCATCTCCCCTATTATCAGCTACCTCCAGAACTTGGGTGGCTCAACAGCTATGTTGTTTCCAGCATTGGCTTACATGCTTCAAGGGTTTCCCAGGGAGGAACCTTACATTTGGTTCACTGAAGAATACTTTTAGGTTTGGCTTTTTGGGGAGATCCTTCTCCACAATATATTAGATGATTTCTTTCAATTCCAGTGATCTCATATGACATGCTAATGAGGCTGACTGGCAGGTAATTCCCTGGATTTATCTTATATTGTGAAAACAAGATGAGATAAAACTTTGTGAAATGAAGTAACAAAACTATTAAAATAGTTCTAAATAATCTCCCCAGATCCTCAAGCCAGCTGTTCCTAAGACCTCCTGAGCTCAGCATACTTGTAGGAAAACCAAGTTTAATTTTCCAAATAGCTTTTTAAAAGAATTTGTTAGTCTTTTGTAATCAGAGTTAAGGTCATTTATGGTATTAAGGTATGATCAGTGCCCCTGAAAGGGGGGGGGGCAGGGGCCCTAAACCAACAGCTAGAAGATTTTTACGCATCATGCTTGTTGTTTTTGTGCACTGCTCTGTTTCCATTTTTTGCAAAAAACAGATGCTGAGAAAGTCAGGCAATTTCATCCACAGTAGGGACATGAAGTAAAAGGTTTAGTGCAGTTGAATAGACTAGAAATCTGATAGACCTAATTCCTGCTGAAGTGCGGTTCACAAATGAGCTAGCTGGAATGGGTTTACTTCCTAGAATGGAGGAAAGACCCAAGGGACCACCCTGTGGCACAGATCGGACAAAAAGTAGCATAGACAGAGAGCCTTGACTCCTGGCTTGAGCCTGTTGATCAGGGCAGGCCTAAGACTAGGGTAGGGTTGCTTTAGTAGCCTTGCCGTGACAATGATGGCTACGTCTCAGACCAGACTTTTAAGCGTTTTAGTTCCACCCTCGGCCTATTGATTACGCCAAGGAGAGTGCGCTGCCATGTTTCCTGACATGGTGGAGCACATGGGGGGGGGTGATACATGGTGTGCTTGCATTTCTACTGCTGGTTGCGGAGTGTTCCGTTTTAATTTATTTTACTGACGAATGGTTGCAAAATGTTGGCATCACCCAACTCCACCTAATTGCTGTAAGAGCCGCATCACTCACATAACGTCCGTAGTGAGATGAAGCCGCTTCCTTTCGAACTCTTGGGTGGAGGGATGCCTGTACAAGCTTCGCACACGTGACTTATAGATCCTCCAGAAATAAGCCTTATGAAAAAGTTTGCCTCTCGCATGCGATTTAAAAAAAAATACTTTTTCCACTTGACGGCAGCTACGAACGTCTCCGATTGAGAGCAGCTGAAGTGGAGTGCGTTACCGGTTGGTTTGGTTTTTTCGCCGGGTCAATCGTAAACGAGCGTGGGCCTGGCCTGGCATACATGGAGGCGCTGATGGATTGAGGGACAAAAATATCCATTCATGAGTTCTGTTTTGAATTGAATGAGAGTTATTGTATGGGGGAAAAAAATCCTGAATTCGTACCAATGGGTTTGACAGTGCATTTTCCCCACCCCAAAATGTCAAATTTTACAGTTTTCAAATTGGATTCATTCTCCCCTGGGTAGTGGAGAATTGAGAAAGTTTTAATTCAAGATCTTCATCAGGTGATTCAAAAAACTACCCTCATGTCACTACTTGAAAGCAATGGAAGCATCCTAAGGGGAGGTATGACTTCAATTTGAAAAGAGTGTAGGATAAGTAAGTGATACAAAATCTGACCTCCTTGAGCTGAAAATCTGCCCCCTTGCCTATGTTTTGATATCTATGCTATTCAAGAGGAAAATGCAAACACTGTCCATTCACTTTTTTTATTATTGGAAATTGGTGTAATTTTGTTGAAAACAGCAGTTTGGATTTCTTATTACATTGAATTACATAACATGGGGCAGACTTTATAGCATGGTTAGATTTTGTCTCACCTGCCCAATGTATTTTTTTTTGGAAATAGGATACAAAGGGAGCTTAACTCTGGCTCTCCTCCAAAGCCAATAACCTTTTCTGGCTGTCGTGTTATTCATCTAGTTGCATGAAAGCTGAACATCACATCATTATACCTGTTCCCCTTGTGATTCTCTGATCTATTCAGATATATATGAAAATTGATACTGTCACCAATATATACTAATGTGCAACCTTGGTGTGACCTTGTTCTTCCCCTCCCTGACTGGTATACTCTGGGTGGTGTGATGCAAAATAGCTGAGGAATGTATTCAGGAGAAAGCTTATGCAAAATGTTTCCTGACGTAAAATGTGTTTGATGAAACTACTGGAAAATAATTGCTTAGTCTCTATGATGGTGTTAGATTGGAACAATCTTCTTCGGGGGAAAGATCTCATGCCACTGTGCAAACTTTTAAGATTAACCTTTCATAAATTTTGCAACATAGAGCTTGCCTGCTGCTGGTGCTCAATTGTGCATTGAGCTCCATGAAGTAAGGTATACATTTTGGTTTCCTAGAGGAATAGTAAAATCCTCTCCTTGAGAATGGGAGTATTGCAGCATCATAAAAGAAAGATATGTTGGAGTTCTTTCAATAAACAAACAAGGAACTTTTTGGAGTTGAACTTGTTTCACAATCTCAGGTAATTTTCCATATACTATATTTTTTCTTTCTGTGGGTCTCTTATACCTACGTAGTTTTGGAAAACGGGACGATCAAATATCACCTTTCCGTAGTTCTCAGGACGAAGGAGACAAAAATACTAAATGTAAGCCTATGGTAAGTGGAATATGTGGCCATGTTATGAAATGCAGTCAACTCTCAATAACCCGAACCTCTTTAACTCAATGTCATGGCGTTTCCCGTTGAAATTCTCATGGGGAAAATGCATTTTCCAACTATTTTAACTCCGACTGCTGTACGACATATTTATTGATAACTCTAAATTAATTCCAGTACTATTCATATTTTTCCTGTACAAATACACAGATGAACATCAATGTCATCCTATACGAACTCAACCAAGCTGTGTGCTTGACCATCTTGGATTTAAGGATAAAAACTCTAAGCAATTTTAGTCAATCTAACATCCCAGGGAAAAAAGAATCTACTTCATCGGATCTGCGGTTATAGAGATATCACCCCCAAACCTAGGGGGAAAATGGAAAACCCCCATGGATGGCTAAATTTCTATCCCAATAACCATATATTATATCAAGGCATGCAATAGCTTCAACCAGAGGTCTTAAATAGCTAAACATTTCACTCCATATATCATTTGAATGAGATTTTAGAATCATAGTTGAGTTTGAAAATGTGAAATTTATGCAATTTTCACACCAGAAACATCCCTATGTGACAAGGGAAATGAAAAAGCTCTGGTTACAATTTATTTTACCACTCTGAGTTGCATCGATAAAGCAAGTTACTTTTTGGAATTTTTTT